GCTGAATGACGGGATGGGGGGGGGGGTATATAATGGATTTCCACTGTAATTATGATCAAATTTAAGAACATTAGGTGAACCAAGAATATCTGACCATGTGAAGATTTGTTAACCCCTGTACATAACTGGATATAATTTATTTCAGTTTATTTCACTTACATAACAACTTTTTATATTCAGTCTGGTAAACTTTTTTAACATGATTATTATTGTTGTGGTATTTCTTATTCTCTCACCTTCTCCTCTTTTTTAACTTACTCTTTTTGTTCTCTCTCCTTCTATCTCTCTCTATCTCTCTCTCTTTGTCCCCCACCCAAAAAAAACAGCATAACCTGGGGCCAAACGATATTCAGCAGAAGGCACTAATAGCACTAGATTAACTTAATTGAGATTTCAGATTCAATTATGTATGTGCTGCGCTATCCTAGGTAATGACACAAGTATAATATTGAATGTGATCAAACTACATAACTAAACACAAACAATATAACAAACGTGAATGTATATCAAACAACATGTGCATCAAAAAAAGGAGAATTCCAACCACAACCCCAGTGTATAAAAGGTCATATATATCCCAATACAAAAATCATTTCAAATTGAAATAGCCACAAATAATCTGGAGTTGTGCCATCACCGGATGATGACCACCACAAAAAACACCCAATAGAGTGCTGCTCACCTTGGGCTCAGACTTAGACAATAGGTCTGAATAACACTGTTGTAAAGCCGGCCAGGGTAATACCTTTAATGGAGTCCACTGGTTATAATTAGGGATGCACCGATACAAAGTACAGTACTCGGTACAAGTATCAATACTTTTCAAGCTCTAAGACTAGACTAGAGAAAAATTCAAAAGTTAGGAGGCCGCTGTCATGTGTAAGGAGCACACGGAGCTCCGGGGATTTGTTTTATTGTATGATTTTGATTTATAAATATAAATAAAGGGATGCACCGATACCAGTTTTGCGTGTACAAGTACTGATACATTTTTGTTTATTGTCAAAACAATTCAGACTAATGATTTCAGGACAGTGCTGGAGCACCAGGGCCGGGTCCCAGCTGCAACCTCTGCAACCCTGGTAGATCTCATGAAAATGCCAAGTATTGGCATTGGTACTCGAAGAGTATCTGTGCATCCCTAATGATAATTCTCCTATCTGACCACACACAGGTATTCCCAGGAATCCAGATGCCGTATTAACTCAGCTCAATATAAGAAGAAGTATATAGGTCATAGTGTACACTGTAAAACAGCACATACATCTTTATTTAAAATTCCATTCACATAAAACAATAAATTTCAAACTGCTCTGCAGAAAGCTTTTGTGATATGGGATGGCAAGGAACACCACTGGGCAATCCAAATCCTCCTTCAGCTGCTCCACCCACCTTTCTGCGTCACAACCTCCACTCTACACATGTTACGTCCAGATTGACTTCATCAGGCACACTCCCTTTCTCCCATTGGTTCCCTGCACTCTCCTTAATCTTTGTTTCCTTTTCTCTCTCTCTTTCCTTCTCTCTCCTTTCCTCTCACTCCACTGCCTTCTCTCTCTCTCTCCCTCTCTCCCCTCTCTCTCTCTCTCTCTCCCTTTCTCCCCCCCTCTCTCTCTCTCTCTCTCTCTCTCTCTCTCCCTCTCTCCCCCTCTCTCTCTCTCTGTTTCTGTTTAATTCCCTCTCTTTCCCTATCTTTCTGAATGACAAGTATCATTATCATATTATTTTTCCTTTTTATAGAGAGACTTCTGTGTGATGGGGGAGAGGAAGACCTATCGTAAAAGGAGACCTGGATCTAGGTGTTTGGTGGGGAAGGACTATCTGAGGACCATCACAGAGCCGTGTCTGTGCTCACACTGGGACTTTGAGTGGTAAGTTGTGCTCAGTGTTCAGATATTACTTAATTAAGGGTGCCACATTTTCTTCAAGCAAAACCAGAACACTCTACCGCCGCATGGCAATTGTTTTTTTGGGGAGAATATACAAGAAAGAGCAAGGAGAGACAGTCAGGAGAGAGAAAGGAGAGACATCCAGGGGAGAGAGTGGGGAAAAATATCTAGGAAGATGAGCAAGGAGAGACATCCTCTATGTCACTATGTCGTCCTGATGAAGAGACCCTGCGTGGCCCCGAAAAGTTGGCAATTGGATATACAGTATGTGACACTGTTTCACAATAAATGTACACAAGGATTTGATAAAATCTTCTGAGTGGTGGTGATTTTCCTTCTATACAAGAGAGAGCAAGGAGACAGCCAGGAGAGAGAAAGAAGAGACAGCCAGGAGAGAGAGCAAGGAGAGACAGCCAGGAGAGTGAGCAAGGAGAGACAGCCAGGAGGCCGAGCGAGGAGAGACATCCAGGGGAGAGAGAAAGGAGAGACAGCCAGGAGAAAGAGGAGAGACAGCTAGGAGGATGAGTGAGGAGAGACATCCAGGAGAGAGAGTGAGGAGAGACAGCCAAGAGAGTGTGCCCTTCAAGACTTATCTGCACCCTGGCTTTCAGACACCTCCTTGCTCCCCGAATTCCAGCATCTGTTCATGTCCCATGCCTACTCCATACACTCAGGTTGGAACACCAGGACCCCGTGGTTGCCCCTGTCTGCCTGACATCATGACATCTAGTGTCCGACTTTCAGCTTGCCTGAAACCCAGACAGAGCACATACAGAACTCAAGATCAAGACTGTCCAAATGAATCCCGGACAGGTGGCAGACTTAGACTCATTTATTACCAAGAGCTCCTATGAGATACGTGTGGTCCTGTAGGACAGAACACACAAATAATCAGCTTTGTAATTAGCAATTTTCTTGCTAGGCTGATGTTGTGGTGGGCATAGTCCACCTTTCTTTAGGCAAAAGATAACCCTATACAGGGTGATACAAATACCCAAAACCAAAAACATCTGCTCCCAGTACTGCAAGGACCAGACATGAGCAAAGGATCAAAGAGAGTAAAAAGTACAAGCCATACATGAAATAGCAGTATAGAAATGAGGATGCTTGAGTTCCCCTGTGTTGGGAACCTGTGCCCCGTACTGACGTAAGGATCAGAGGCTGGAACCATAATGCTCAGTGGGGGACAGCCAAACGTAGAAGAGTCTGATGCTGCAGCGCTGGAACGGTGGGAAAGTAGAAGACACAGACTGCCGGAGAACTGCGTATAATTATTCTTCAACTGCAGGAAAGCTCCATTTAGATGTTATTATGGAACCAGCAGCGTTTCTTTGAATGACTCAACTTAAAAATTGGCTGATATTGTATGAAAGGGTATGCCATTGTGAAGCGTTATGTATTTGGCATTGTCTGTGGCCTTGTGGTTTATTTTGATTGCCAAGTAATTAAACAGCAATAAAAGGCTTCATGGTGTCCTTGTTCTTTGGAGGGAATACAGTAAATATGTGTCAATGTCCTTGCTCAACAGTACTGTAGCTAAATATGTAGATGGTCCTCACACACATTGTACATAGACATGAAATTATTAGTGTTGCCAAGGGAACACTTTTATAAACTGGGGACCATCATATAAACAAGGGTTTAGTAACCTTTTCCATGTTAAGTGTCATGTTCACAAGCATTAGACAGCTGGCATGTTAATGAACAATAACGTGTCGAAGTCATATAGTTTGTTTTCAGCTTTTGCATTCATAGTTGAGCTGCTGATGACAAGTAAAAAGCATTAATTAAAATATTATTTTATAATAATTAATTATTTTAATTTTCCATTAACTATGAGTGTTAAAACTGATTAACAAAACATTTTTAGTTCCAATGCATGCACTTCAGACCAGAGGCATAATAACTAGAAACCTCCGTGCAAGAAACCATGAAGGGTCTATCCCCCACCATCCGCCTTGGCAGTTATCAGGCCCTTTTTTTCCATTACAGGGCCCCCCAAAAGCTGCGGAACGCCAGGGCCTGGTCTTACATGGGACTGCTGTGACCCTGGTAGCTTCACCAGTGCTTATATCAGCTGAGCAGTGTTGGGCTGCTATATATTAATTTGTCACACGCAAGGAGGCACTTTCCTTCACACCGCCAGTAAAAAGCATTAATTAAAATATTATTTTATAATAATTAATTATTTTAATTTTCCATTAACTATGAGTGTTAAAACTGATTAACAAAACATTTTTAGTTCCAATGCATGCACTTCAGACCAGAGGCATAATAACTAGAAACCTCCGTGCAAGAAACCATGAAGGGTCTATCCCCCACCATCCGCCTTGGCAGTTATCAGGCCCTTTTTTTCCATTACAGGGCCCCCCAAAAGCTGCGGAACGCCAGGGCCTGGTCTTACATGGGACTGCTGTGACCCTGGTAGCTTCACCAGTGCTTATATCAGCTGAGCAGTGTTGGGCTGCTATATATTAATTTGTCACACGCAAGGAGGCACTTTCCTTCACACCGCCTCACACCTTCAGCTTTCCGATCTCCTCAGTCATGAAGTCACACCCGCACACAGCCCAGGCCTAAACGTGTCAGTGTCATCCTCCGCTGATGTCAGCGGCAGTCGCCATCTTGGCGGAGCAGCAGGCAGCAGTGGTAACCAGCTCTGGTCTCCTCACACAGAGCTGGTGGAGCAGAGACCGCTGCGACCCTAGTAGTTTTGTCAGTGCTTCAGACATCAGCTCAGCCCAATGCATGCACTTCGGACATCAGCTCAGGCCAATGCATGCACTTCGGACATCAGATAAGCCTAATGCATACACTTTAGACATACGATTAGCCCAATGCACACACTTTAGTCCTCAGATTGGCCCGATGCATGCACTTCCAACCTGAGTTCATCCCCCAATGCATGCACTTCAGACCTCAGATCAGCTCAATGCATGCACTTCAGAGTTCAGATCAGCCCCAAAGCATCCACATTAAACCTCAGCTCAGCCGCAATGCATAAACTTAAGTGCTAAAATTAGCCCCAATACATGCACTTCAGACCTCATATCGGCTCTAATGCATACTTAAGACCTTAGACACATCAGATGTCCTTTCAGTAATGTCAGGGAGGTGGGTGTTCCAGACGTTGCAAGCCTAGTAAGCTGTCAATTACTGCCAATGGCAATGGGTGCCAGCACAAAAGGCATTGTGTACATGCCCAACGGGTAACATTTGTATTTAGAGGATTAGAAGCATCAGTATCCGAACTATCTCTGGTCAAAAACGAAAAAAAAATCTGTATTTCTATACTGAATTTCCATAAGTTCTATCTCACTCATACTAACCATATCCATCTAGAAGTTTGAAGCCTCCTGAACTACAACTCAACGTCTGAACAATGTAACATCATCATTGCTTGCGGGAAGTAATGCATGATGGGAGATGTAGACTTGAGAAATGGACATTACATCACATCAAGTCTGCACTACCCTTTGTGATCTTGTACTGGACAAGGAGTTCAGGGAAGCTTAGCTGAGAGACTTGGAAGCAGCTGTTTAGAAACACGATAATTGTAAGTGTTTGATCAAAAATGTAAAGCAATGCTTTGCTGGGAGATGTATATTTGTTTGATCTGGATTCATCATTGAAGACAAGTTTGAGAGTTCTATAATGATCTACAAGCGACCATTGCCACTTACATTATGCGGTCATGGTCCACTGTTGTCGCTCTCAGGAAACCCACCCTTAGAATTGTCACGCAGGCATTGCTGGAGTGCATGCGGACAGGGAGTGGCTGCAAAGAGGCCGTAGGAGATCAGTATCTCTGGGATGCAGCAAAGGATGAAAAAAATGTAACAACAATTATTTTATTTTAAATGGCGACTGTCTGCGGTATGCGATGCTTTAGTAAAGAAAATGACACTTCATTAGGGTTTAGATTTACTTCGACGTGGTAAAGCCTATAGGAGATTTAGCCGGTTGCGTTTACATCCATTTTAAAACAAAGGCATAGAAGCAGAGATCCCAGAAGTGTTTTCGGTTAAATACACATTTAAAAATCATTAATGTACACAAGATCATCCTTAAGGGGAGATGGAAATGTTGTTTTTAAATTTGTGAAATATTAATGCGAGTCTTTGTACAGTTAGCGAACATTTTCTTAATTACCGCGTCGCCCATAGGCACGTTTTACGATGAGAGGCTAAGCAAGCATTGAGTGTAATCCTATTTAATGTAAGAAAAAGAGCTGAATGCACACATCTTACAGTCGTCTTCTGTGATGATTGCACTCTCAGCCTCGCCGGGTGCAGAGATTTTCCTGCTCTGGGACAACAATCTCAGCACCAGCAGACTGAGACGGTTTTTGATTGGGCAGGTTAACCCTTTACACACACACAGCAGCCACCACCGCGCGTTTTAACAGAAACACGCACTGTTCACTGCATTCTCGGTTGCAATTCTGACTTTTAGAGAGGATGTCTGTATCACTAGCTGCCACACCCAGACAGGAATTCAACAAAATAAACAAATGGGAACAGAGCAACACCTCCGTGTGTAAAATTGTTTATTAAAATAGATAAAACAAGGGATATATGTACTTAGAAGCAAACGTTTAACAGCAAGCAAGAGGACACGCTGTCTGTTAGCCCAACATAGTTTCGCCCCGTCTATGTACCACGGCTGACTCTGGTCACATCATCGTCCATCGGCCACAGTCAGCTAAGATTGATGCGTTTCAGGGGCACGCCCCCTTCATCAGAATCATGATGAAGGATGAGCATGATTTTGATGAAGGGGGCGTGCCCCTGAAACGCGACAATCTTAGCTGACTGCGGCCGATGGATGGTGATGTGACCGGAGACAGCCGAGGTACATAGTCGGGGTGAAACTATGTTGGGTTGTTGTTAAAGCATAATATAAAAGTTTGCTTGTGAGTACATATATCCCTTGTTTTATCTATTTTAATAAACGATTTTACACACGGAGGTGGCGCTCTGTTCCCTTTTGTTTTCTATATTCGTGGTGGAAGCACCAGAGGCTTGGATGAGCAGCCCCTCAAGTCTGTGTGATAAACTGTGAAAAACTTTGAGTATGCAACAGCAAGTGGATTGTTCAGATGGCAGCCATTAGCGCCAAGAGTTAATGAAAACTTTTTGTCTGATAGGAATACAACAGAATTATACACTATGGTTGCGCCTTACACTGGCATAGTTCTTTAGTGTCCTAATTAGAACATTCAGAGATTCAGCTTAATGATTTTTTTAAAAATTTTCATGAAAGAAAATAATAACAAGGAATATTTTACAGAAAATATATTAAAAAATAAAATAAGGTAAGCAACAGTAAAATTATTAAAATTAAAAAATAGGGGAGAAAAAAAGTGAAAAATACTTTAGTAAAGTTTACCTGGTTTTTGTATCTTTGCAATTTGCTTGCAGAATAACCCCAATCTGATGTTTGCATGAGTTTGCTGGCCCTCAGACATATAGTGACCCTCAGTATGTGTCGTCGTTTTGAGGTGAATCGAGAGCTCAGAGCTGCAAATGCAGCCATCTTTTCTGGTTTCTGGATAGGGCATTAGAGAATTGACAAACCCAATCAAAGGGTCCAAGAGGTGTTCTGAAGGGGGCTGTAGAGGATTTTTATTGTTTTTATTGGAAACACCCCTAATCCCAACTTTCCTAAACGCATCTTTACTTCCCTCTGACATGGTTTTCACAATCTAGGAACTAGCATCTTGTCTAGCAAAATGAAATGACAAATTGTTGGATACCAAATATAACAGATAATATCTATGTCTTAGTTAGGAGGTCTAATGTGGCTGCCGGCGGAGGTAGGATAATTTGGTTGTGGCAGGAGGGGTGTGTGTGAATGTGTGGGGAATAGGGGTGAATAACGATGTGTTGGGTGAGGAGAGAGAATGTAGCTGTGGTAGGAGGGACTTGAATATGGCTGTGGTGGCGGAGGAGAGAATGTGGTGGGGTAGGGAGGAAAATGTGGCTGTGGTGGGGATGGGGAAGGATGTGTATATGGTGAGCGGAGGGAGGAAATGTGGTGGGGATGGGGGAGAATGTGGCTGTGGTGGGGAAGGGGAAAATGTGACTGTGTTAGGGAAAGGGGCAAGGTGATGGGGTAGGAGAATGTGACTGTGGTGGGGAAGGGGGATAATGGGACTGTGGTGGGGAAGGGAACAATGTGGCTTTGATGGGGTAAAGGAGAATGTGACTGTGGTGGGAGGGGGAAGAATGTGGCTGTGGTGGGGAAGGAGAGAATGTGGTTGTGGTAGGGAAGGGGAGAATGTGGCTGTAGTGGGGAAGGGGAGAATGTGGCTGCGGTGGGGAATGGGAATAATGTGGCTGTAGTTGGGAAGGGGGTAATCTGGCTGTAGTGGGGAGTGGGAAGAATGTGGCTCAGGTGGGGAAGGGGAGAATGTGGCTGTGGCAGGGAAGGAGAGAATGTGGTTGTGGTAGGGAAGGGGAGAATGTGGCTGTGGTAGGGAAGGAGAGAATGTGGTTGTGGTAGGGAAGGGGAGAATGTGGCTGTGGTAGGGAAGGAGAGAATGTGGTTGTGGTAGGGAAGGGGAGAATGTGGCTGTGGTAGGGAAGGAGAGAATGTGGTTGTGGTAGGGAAGGGGAGAATGTGGCTGTGGTAGGGAAGGAGAGAATGTGGTTGTGGTAGGGAAGGGGAGAATGTGGCTGTGGTAGGGAAGGAGAGAATGTGGTTGTGGTAGGGAAGGGGAGAATGTGGCTGTGGTAGGGAAGGAGAGAATGTGGCTGTGGTAGGGAGGGGAAGAATGTGACTGTGGTAGGGAGGATAAAATGTGGATGTGGTGGGGTGGGGGGAGAATGTGGCAACACCACAAGCCTCTGGTGTGGTATTAGCCAGTTGATAGTTGCTAAGTGTTTAAAATGTCACAAATGCCATTAATTTGATGTTTATTTTGTCTTTCAGTGACTATGGCTACGAGAGGCAAGGGAAGAACCAGTGCACAGCAGCATTTTGGTTTAACCCAGGTTCCATTTCCAAAGACTGCAGCCAGGGTCAGAACTATCTGAAGAGCAGCGGGTAAGACCGCAGTCATCATGGCACTAAACACACATCATATTCCTCATTATATTATTTTTAAAATGAGTCCGAAGAGAGAAAAATACAAACCGGCATTTTGGAACCTTTTAGGGGACCATTCAACCAAGCCCATATGAACAAAACAAATTTGGGCAGCTCTTGCTTTGCATTTCTTCACAGTAAAAATGTTTTTTTTTCAATGTGAACCAAACTGAAATGACAAATAATGAGAAAACAAGCAATCTAGATTTCCCCCGGAGGGATGTTTTCTGTTTGAGAATCAAATTACAATGACAAGTTGCGTGGTGTAGAGCACTTAACTTTCATACTTGTGGTATGTTGGGTATCATCGTGGGTATATGAATGGGTGACATGTAGAGATGTCAGTCTGAATAGGTTGTCTCTATTTACTGTAATACCACTAAAGGGTTACTCTATTGGAATGTGTATCATAGCTACAGATGGAGACTGGTGGTCAGAGTCTACCCCTGGCTTCTTAAATGACTTGAATGACTTGGACACCCTGAAACCTCCCACCACCACCATCCTAAAAAGATCTCCATTTGATAATTCCCAACTCTGTTCCTGTCCGTCTTGGGGTTTTCGGTGTCCCACCCAACTTCATGTAGTCCAGCTGCTTCTGTTACATTCGCATTATAAAATAAATTTAAAAATCCATGGTGCAAGCCCCTCATAATGGGCACAACAGGTGTACAGACCCGGGAACTCAGCACAGGGGTGGTGGGAGCCCCTCATAATGGGCACAGCAGGCGTACAGACCTGGGTACTCAGCACAGGGATGGTGGGAGCTCCTCATAATGGGCACAGCAGGTGTGCAGACCCGAGAACCCTGCAGAGGTATGGTTGGAGCTCCTCATAATGGGCACAGCAGGTGTGCAGACCCAGGAACTCAGCACAGGGATGGTGGGAGCCCCTCATAATGGGCACATCAGCTGTACAGACCTGGGAACTCAGCAAAGAGATCTCAGCAATAGAGTTCCCAGATTATAGAAGAAACTGTGTGATCCACCCTCTTGAATTGTCCTAGTGACCATTGTCACTGGAACCGAAATTGAGGGTAAATCCAAAATTAGGAGTTGCCGCCAGAACAGAAATGTCACCTGAAGGTGGAAACGAGAACCAAGGAAGGCAAAATATAAGCAGAATAAGCTTCAACATAAACAAAATATTATGTTTGTAACTCAATGTGTTATTTCGATCATCCTAGTGGGAGCCAAAATCTCTTACAACAGTAACAGGTTTGTCATGTGTTTCTGTGCTGTAGGTATCGCAGGATTGTGGCCAACAATTGCACCGATGGGTTGCGGGAACAGTACAGAGCCAAGCCTCAGCAGTGCTCAGGAAAAGCCCCGCAAGGTCTTCAGCTCAGCACTAGTGATGGGAAACTGGGGGTTCACCAGGGCCAGAACGTGACCTTCCTGGTCCACTTGGAGGAGGTGAGCTCAAAAGTAAAGCTTGTTTCTGAACATACAGCATTTGTGGAAAGTCTCTCAGTTTTTTATTTAGAAAGCAGCCGCCATGTCCCCACCAGCATGTTCTCTGTGCACAAGCAGTGGTCTCTCTACAGAGATCTAACACACACCCTGTTGAATCAAAGCTGGAGCTCTCCACTTAGCAATCTCTCTAGCCACGTCATCTTATACATGGTGGTCTATCTTTAGCCAGGCTGTCTTTATCATGGTGGTCTCTTCTTAGCCAGGCTGTCTTTTATATGACAGTCTCTCTTTAACCAGGCATTCTTTCACAAAGCAGTCTCTCTAGCCAGGCCATCTTATACATGGTAGTCTCTCTCTAGCCAGGCTGTCTTTATCATGGCGGTCTCTTCTCAGCCAGACTGTCTTTTATACGGCAGACTCTCTTTAGCCAGACAGTCTTTCACAAGGCAGTCTCTCTAGCCAGGTCATCCTATACATGGGAGTCTCTCTCTATGCCGGCAATATTTTACAAGCCACTCCTTCTCTAGCCAGGCTATGTTTCACAAAACATTCTGTCTCCAGCCCGGCAAGTTTTGACATGGCAGTCTCTCTCTAGCGAGGCAGTTGTTGTCTCTACAACTAGGCTTTCCTTAACATTTCTCTCGCTAGCCAGATTGTCTTTGTATAGCAGTCTCTCTCAGTCAACATCGATCTGTTGGCTAGGTTGGCTGCCCCAGGGTATTGGTCAAACGGGTTTGGAAGAGTGGTATTGTCTGACAAGCCAGACAGACCAGGTCTATGCAAATTGGCCCCTTCGATATGTATTTCCTGGCCAGAAATAAAATAACATCTGCCGTTGTTTGCACAGAGAAATACTTAAATAGATGGAGCCGTTTATCTAAATAAGCAGGAGGTTACGGAAGAGGCGACCTCTCTACATTTCAGGCGTTTCTCATGATCCATACTGTTTTCTTTTCTTTGGTTTTATAAATAACCTGGAAATCGAGGTGAAAATCCGAGTGTATAAATGTACAAAACAAACCCGATGATGAGACATATCGAATGCAGAATGTACAATATACACTCTCTGGCCACTTTATTAGGTACACCTTGCTAGTACCATGTTGGATCCTTTTTGTCTACAGAAAGGCCTTAATTCTTCATGGCATAGATTCAACAAGGTGATGGAAACATTCCTTAGAGAGTTTGGTCCATACTGACATGATAGCATCACGCAGTTGCTGCAGACTTGTCGGCTGCACGTCCATGATGCGAAGCTCCACCAGCCTGAACCGTTGATACAAGGCAGGATGGATCCATGCTTTCATGTTGTCTACATCAAATTCTAACCCGACCATCCGAATGTCGCAACAGAAATAGAGACTCGTCAGCCCAGGCAACGTTTTTCCCGTCTTCTAATTACAATTTTGGTGAGCCCGTGCAATCTGTAGCCTCAGTTTCCTGTTCTTAGCTGACAGGAGGGGCACTTGGTGTGGTCTTCTGCTGCTGTAGCCCATCTGCTTCAAGGTTCAATGTGTTGTTTGTTCAGAGATGCTCTTCTGCATACCTCGGATGTAACGAGTGGTTATTTGAGTTACTGTTACCTTTCCATCATCTTGAACAAGTCTGGCCATTCTCCTCTGGTATTCTTGCCCATAGAGCTGCCGCTCACTGGATATTTCCTCTTTTTTGGACCATTCTCTGTAAACCCGAGAGATGGTTGTGTGTGGAAATCCCAGTAGATCAGCAGTTGCTGAAATACTCAAACCAGCACCATCTGGCACCAACACCCATGCCACATTCAAAGTCACTTAAATCATCTTTCTTTCCCATTCTGATGTTCGGTGGGAACTTCAGCAGACCATCTTCACCACGTCTACATGCCTAAATGTATTAAGTTACTGCCATGTGATTGGCTGATTAGCAATTTGTGTTAATGAGCAGTTGAAAAGGTGTACCTAATAAAGCGGCTAGTGAGTGTATAAGGACACGGACGTAGACACGTCTAACTTCTCATTTTGTAGAAAGGGTCGTTAATTGCTTATTCCCGTCTCGTTTTTATGATGTGCTGGCTCAGTAAAAGGCTCATTTCGGTTATTTGATTAGGAATATAATTAAAAGCCCAATCATTTCAAAATTAATGATTTGAGGAATGGGTCCGCTCTCCCTAAAAGATCCAACACCCACTGACAGTATGGCTTCCTTGAGCCCACCCTTTTATAAAAAAGGGGGCAGGGTTACCCATTCCTTTAAATGATTGGCTCTTGTGACCAGGGGTAAAGTCTATGATGGCATGATATGTTGCTCAGTATTTTGCAACCCTGCACTTGTATTAGTGAACTTCATGGATCCTGGGGATTGGCTATGAACCCAGAGTAACGAACCTGAACCTCATGTCTACTCCCTGCTTATTTATCGGAGACTCCATACGCAAGAACCAACCTCCCCGCAGTATTTTGTGTCTCCATCCCCATTGTAAGGCTCCTTTATTATTAGGAAGGGTAAACATACTTTAAAGGATTAGTGCACTTTAAACCAAAGTCCACTTATCCTTTAGGTCCCCTTAAGTTGACATCACCGCTCCTCTCCGTGTACAGATGAATGCCTACCAAGTTCTGATGGACCCAGCATCCATTGATCCATTAATACATTTTTCAGCAGATGTCTTCTTCTCCTGGTGTCGCCTGTGCAATACATCCCCATGCCTTCTATGGGGCAAGTCTACCTCCATCCCGTAGAAGTCAATGGAGATGTACTCCACAGGTGTGGCTAGGAGAAGTTGTCCACTGCAGGATGGCTAAAATTAACCAAGGCGTGGCCTGTCGGGATTCAAACAAGTACTCATCTTTACACAGGGAGGGAGAGATGATGTCACCTTAAAAGGGCCGAACATTAGGCATCTTTCTCCCAAGCAGCTAAATAAGCAAAATGTGGAACTTTTTGAAATTTCGTAATTTGGCCAAAATCACTTTGCTTATCCCCCAGACAGGAGGTAAAGGTTAGACATCTGGAGTGAGACACCTTAGGTTGGGGGGGTTAAGTTTGTTAAATCTGGAGCAGTGGGTACCGGACTGAAGCTCTGGGGCTAATATATTTTGCTGGGGCCAGGTGTGTGAGGATATACCACTGATCTCCCGTCTAATGAGGTCATCAGCTTCTAATTTTAACTGTATCCGGATACCAGGTTGTCCTCAGGGGTGTCCCTAGCAGCATAATTTTAGGCCCCTTTAAGGGGACTTCATAAATTACCTCCCCCTTCACAGATGAATACCAAGTCCTGAGAGGCCAAACCTAAGTTAATTTTTGACATCCTGCAGTGGATAACTTATATAGCAATACATCCCCATTGACTTCTACAGGATGAAGGTATCTTGCTACCAGGCTTGTCCTCAGAGGTGTCCCTAGCAGCATAATTGTCATCTAAGGTGCGGGGGGAGGTGATGCTGGTAGTCACATTCGTGGGGGATTAGCTTGGCTCTTGGTGGTCACATTTTGGGGCATGGCGGTGTCCAGGGGAGGGGGTGTGGGGTGCTGGCGGTGCACGCTAGCAGTGCTGTGGCCAGCGTCCTGCCCAGCTCACTAACGTCACTGGTTGCCTTGAGCTCGGCCAGAATGTCCCGTTCAGCTCCTGGCAACTAGTGACATCAGTGAACTGGACAGGACGCAAACACGAGCATCTAGCTCAGCTCCTGAAAACCAGTGACGTACTAAGCTGGTTCTTGCTGTAACTGCAGACAGGACTGTGTTCTGTATTTATTGATACATCATTAAATGCATTTTTAATACAAGCAGAGTAAACACCCGTGTGGGACTTCACATCAGCAGTCCCTGTACAGCAGAGCTCAGAATGCAAGAGGAACAAGCAGCACAAGGAGCCAATCGGTGCTCATGTGCTACCAAAGAAACATACTGATAGGAGGAGAGAGCAGATTGACCAAGAAGCGAGCTCACCAATCTGCTGCTTTGCTGTCCAATCACAGGCTGGGGGAGGGACAAGACCTGTAAGTGTTACTGAACTGCAACAGAGAGAGAGATCAGGTCTCCTGCCCTGCCAGAGGGGGCTCTGCTGCGTGGCAGAGCTGTGCAAATCTCAGGATTGGAAGGAAAGAAATATGAATCCTTCGGCAGGTAAAACGTCTCCCATAAATGTATCCAATGTATTACTCTCAATTACGTGATCGGCTATAAATTCGCCAAGCGCAAAAATGCCGCCGTTGTTTCTTGATCCTTTAAATGTGGCTCGCTATGTCATGTGACCTGAGGGGGGGTAGGGATCTCACACTAATGACCCCTTCCTTGGTAACGCTGACTTCTCCTCCCCGCCGCTCTCCGTACGAGAATCTGATAAATGACTTCCAATTTAGAAAACGTGTGACCTTTAATGGCTGCCAACCGTTTGGCGGGCAATCAATAAGACAGTTAAATCCCGCGGCCTTCTGAAATACGTTCCGCGTCTAGAAGAGGGAAAATCCGCAGATAAAACCTTCTGTAGCAATAATTTTGTCAGATAACCGATACTCATAGAGATCACATGGCTCCCCCTTCCAGGTATCAATTACCTATCATAGAGATCACATGACTCCCCCTTCCAGGTATCAGTTACCTCTCACAGAGATCACATGGCTCCCCCCTTCCATGTATCAGTTACCTCTCATAGAGATCACATGGCTCCCCCTTCCAGGTATCAGTTACCTCTCACAGAGATCACATGGCTCCCCCTTCCAGGTATCAGTCACCTCTCACAGATATCACAGTACGCCCCCTGACATTGCATTCATCTGCTTCTCTCTACAGAAGGACGGCACCATCTTTGTTCAGCCATCATCCATAGGGGGGCCCGTGCATTGGTAGTGCACGTTACTGGGAGGGGGGTGTAGGTGGTGCATTTTACCTCTGGCTCCGGCCGATGTCCCACCCAGTCCCTACCAATATGCACTTTAATGCAGACAGGTGTGATTGAGTGATTTTGCCAAACTTGATTTTACCAAATGTTTTATTTTTTTACAAAATTGCCTAATTTTATTATATGGCATTGTTCCTCTTTGAAAGCTGGAATGTGCAAAGTGAGAAGCCCCAGCGCTATGTGGCACAGCTTAGGTAGGGCTAGCTTTAGGGTCAAAGGCTCTATGGTTAGGGTTACATGTAGGGTGATGGCTAGTTCTAGGGTTAGGGTTATAGTCACAGATGGTTGGGGCTACTGTTAGACCCATGTATCATTGGTCATCTTGTAGCTAGGAAGAGCTTTCCAGTAATAGAATTGCTAAGAGTGCAGTGAAAATACTCAGCTGTTTCCACGTGGCATTCAGTCCCTGGCAGAGATACTGTAGAGTGTCACTTGGGGCAGGGGCAGGCTCATACAGCCAATGAGGGAGCAACACATGGAAACAAGTGAGTATTTATCTAACGTATCCTGTAACAGGGTTGCAAGTATGATGTTAGCCTTAGGGTGATGGTTAGCGTTAGTCTTAGGGTTAGCATTTGTGTTAGTGTGAGAGTTAATATTAGGGTTAGTGTTAGGATTATCACTAGCAGTTAGGGTTATTATTAGGGTTGGTGCTAGGGTTATGATTTACCATTAGGGTTAGTGCAAGGGTTAGGTTTACTGTTAGGGTTAGGGTACTGTAAGTGCAAGGGTAATGGTTACTATTATTCTTAGTGCAAGGGTTAGGTTTACTGTTAGGGTTAGGGTTACCCTTATGGTTAGTGCAAGGGTTAGGTTTACTGTTAGTGCTAAGGTAATGGTTACCATTAGGGTTAGCGTTAGGTTTGGAGTAACTGTAATTGCCAGGGTTATGGTTACCATTTGTGTTAGCAGTAGAGTTACTGTTAGGATTCATGTTAGGAATACCAGTACCATTAGGGTTACTCTAAGGGTTAGATTTTAGGACTTAGGTTACCATCAGGTTTAGAACAAGGATTAGATTTATTGTTAGTGGTAAGGTTATGGTTACCATTAGGGTTAGCGCTAGGGCTAGGATTACTGTAAGTGCTTGGTTATTGTTACCACTATTGTTTACATTAGAGTTACTGTTAACATTAATGTTAGGATTACCAGTAGCATTTACGGTTAATGTTAGGGTTAGTGTTAGGATTACCAATAAGAGTTAGTATTAAGGTGATGTTAGGTTCAGAAAAAGGGTTTGGTTTACTGTGAGTGCTAGGGTTATGGTTACCATTTGTGTTAGTGTTAAAGGGTAAAGGGTAGATTACCTGTAGCGATAGGGTTACTGGTAGGGTTACTGGTAGAGTTCTGTTTACTTCAGGTTTAGAACATGAGTTAGGTTTACTGTTAGTGCTAATGTTATGGTTACCATTAGGGTTATCGTTATGCTTACCATCAGGTTTAGAACAAGGGTTAGGTGTACTGTTAGGGTTAGGGTTATGCTTACCATCAGGTTTAGAACAAGGGTTAGGTGTACTGTTAGGGTTATGCTTACCATCAGGTTTAGAACAAGGGTTAGGTGTACTGTTAGGGTTATGCTTACCATCAGGTTTAGAACAAGGGTTAGGTGTACTGTTAGGGTTGGAGTTATGCTTACCATCAGGTTTAAAACAAGGGTTAGGTGTACTGTTAGTGCTAGGGTTATGGTTACCATTAAGGCTAGCACTAGGGTTATGGTTATTGTTACCATTAGCTTATATTTTGGCACCAAACCAGATCCAGAATATATTACAGGAGCTTCTGCATCCCTCTGGAGCCATGTAAAGCCCATTGCACCTTTTCACTTTAATTTTGCCTTTCCCACTGATGACAACATTTTATTGAAATGTCTCAATTATCATCAAATTTCAATTTCTGCCATTAGTCGGAACACCTCATTCGCATACTTCCGCCATGTCAGTCATTCAAACATTCATTCAGTCATTAAATCAGCATGACATCCGGGGATCTAATACTCTCAAAAGGGTCAGTCAACAATGGCAGCCTCCATACGTACTCAGTACTTCACTCCTTAAAGGGTAACCCCACCTTTGGTAAGACTGGAGCCTTTGCAGTTGAGGGATCTCTAACGGTTCATTCACACGTGGTAGAAGCTCGCATTGTACAGTGAAATCAGAGGAAGCCATTTCAGTCCAGGAGAGGAGGAGGTACAACTGTGCATGACTGAAGGGAAGGACAGAGTTCAGCTTTTACAGGTTCCAGCAATAATAATCAATGGTCTCACATATGTGATTGTTCTGCATTCCAGGGAGACCTCCAAAGAATAAACATTCAGCTGGACTTCGGGGACGGCAGCGCTGTGTCCTACGCTAACTTTAGCAAGATTGAAGATGGGATAAGACACGTGTATAAGAGCGCCGGGATATACCAAGTGGTGGCGTACGCGGAGAACAACGTCGGTGTTGACAGCGCCATGCTCTATCTCCATGTGACTTGTGAGTACAGATCTCTCGGCTTTTAGCTCTTGGTTATGACTGTGATAGGAACATGAAGACTGTTTGTGTTTAGATTCAATGTATCATTATAAGGGAACTATAGTCCCATTCATGCATTTATATAGCTACACTTTAAAGGACTCAGGAGACGGAAGAGGTGGAGCCAAGCTGGGGAGGGAGCATGCAGGGGAAGCCAAGAATTGCACTTCATTTGCTTATGTCTCTGGGATTGGTGATTTTTCTGATGTGTGGATTTTATCGAAAATAAAATTTGCTTATGCCTTACGCTCTGCTTATATTACCAAAGTTTGTTAACTTTAAAACTGAACTGAAACTTTTATTTAAAATCAATAGCTACACATTATATAAATCTACTTTGTGTGAACCAAATGCATTTGGTAGCCTAGATATTACTTTGAGCAGTGGTATTCTCATTGTACTGTACGTAACCTGTGCAGAGAGTAAGGCTGTGCAAGGGACCCAGCAGTCCCCACCCACTACAGGAGGCAGCAGAGAAAAGACCAGTCACCCTGCACAAGGATAGAAGGCAGCAGTGACCGGTCTTTATTACAGGAGGGTGAAGACAAGACCAGTCACCCTGTACAAGGAGAGAGAGCAGCAGCGACCGATTTTTATTACAGGAGGGGGCGGAGACAAGACCAGTCACCCTGCACAAGGAGAGAGAGCAGCAGTGAGCGGTCTTTATTACAGGAGGGGGCGGAGAGAAGACCAGTCACCCTGCACAAGGAGAGAGAGCAGCAGTGAGCGGTCTTTATTACAGGAGGGGGTGGAGACAAGACCAGTCATCCTGCACAAGGAAAGAGATCAGCAGTGAGTGGTCTTTATTACAGGAAGGGGCGTAGACCAGACCAGTCACCCTGCACAAGGAAAGAGAGCAGCAGTGACCGGTCTTTATTACAGGAAGCTCCAAGTTTTGGAGAGATCTGGAGGAATTATGACTCTTATATGAGGACAATATATTGTATGCTCATCCTGGAGTTTAGCTTTAATAACACTGTAACCTTTTTTTGTGTTCACTGAAAGTTAAAAAAAAAATAACTTTCGGCATCATAAAACGTGTTGGTGCTGGTTGATGTGTCCCGCCGGCGCTCTCCATCATCCTGACTTTGCTGCTAACGCATTAAAACGATTGTGGCGTTCCCAGGATCGCCCGTACGGAATTGTGTGTACAAGTTAATGCACATAAAGACCGGGTTACCGCGCCATTTTATACCGCCGAGTTCTCCCAGTGATGGGTGAAATGTGCCCTGAAACTTTATCGTGCTCATAACTCCTCCACGAATCAATCATGTCTTTGTTTAACTACGTGTTATTAAAGCCTTTACCGCTCTTGGCTTCACCTTGCTCCATTAAGTAACAAAAGGAGCCGTTCGCGGGAGAGAGCGAGCTAATTTCCTCGGGCTCGTCTGGTTTTATTAGTAAAATTCAAGTGGTTCTGACAGAGGCTTCTTTATCATGTGGGCTCTGGGAGGCACCAAGGCACGGCATTGGCTCTCGGGCCGGATAAACACTTCTGCGTTGTGGTAATGCGCCTAACATGCTGTGTTGTGGTGTTGTTCATCTTCAAGAGCACTCCAGTGTTGTTGCGTTATAGTGCGCCACAGTGCACAGGCATCATGTTGCTGCCACACATTGGGTCATATGAAATTTTAGGCACATAAGCAGGGGAATCCCCATAATGAGGCAGCCTCAGGCAGTAGCCTCAGGAGGCATCTCACTGGGCGGGGGCGGTAGCAAGGCAAACTAACAGCACTGGCATTTGTTCTGAATGGGCCGCCTTAACGCAACAACACCTTAACGCGGCACTTAACGTCTGCGCATCACACGCTGCAAAGAGGTAAATGGGCCCTTAGGGTTTGCACCTTACCAGGGCTCTACTTTCATGATGTTTGGCTGTTCATATGGAGTGGTAATATGCATGGCTGTGTTTTTGTGCCATTCATTTTGATTGGCAACCTAATGCATCTGCTTTGCCGTGCGCTATGTTACAAAAATGTGCCATGTGCAATTCTTGGCACATTAGGGTGCATTGGCAGACCAACTAGAGGGGCAGCAGGGGTGTGAAATTCCTATCTCCCGATGCCCGGGACATGCAGTTCCGGGCACCAGGTGGGTGGTAGTTTTCTACATATAGCCCGGCTTTGGGCAAGCAGTAAATGTACAGCGGGGAAGCCGCCTCTTGTTTTGTACAAGTGATCCCAACGATGTCGTCAAGATCACTTGTATGCAGCCTGCAGGTCTGCCATTCTCCATGGAGGGGGGGTTGGCGGGTAGGGGGGCGCATTGATGAACCAGGCCTTGGGGCAGCAGAGAGAGTAAATCCGGCCCTGCCTACCAGGGCACTACCAACATGACATTTGCATGTTCATATGGTGCTCAGGAGGTGCTTTAAAAGGCATATTATATCATGCAGCTGCCTCTGAGTTGTCTTTTTTTATTTTCAGTCTATGTCTGGGCAACATAGTAAAAAAAAGCCCCAAAAAACATATTCTGTACATCTCTACAATACACGCAGATTTCAGACTCGTTCATACCAGCCCCATTGGACAGTGTTGCCCAACGCAGTTTCAACACATAAACAAGGCAATCAGCCTTATGCCCTATTGTATTTCGTTTCAAACCAACGCGTTGCATTGGTGTGCGCTGGATAAAGGCGGGACAGGTTTAAATTTTACGCAGCGCGTTGAAACACTTTATACTGCATTGTAGCATGCTGCGGTGCAAAGAGTTTAATTAAATTCATAAAAAAAAAAGTGAGGCTCATACTAAATGATGCCTACGTTTGCATGTACAGTATAGTTGTGTTTGGCCTGTTGTACAACCCACATTCCGTTGTCTAACCGTCTTCTCGTTATTCCCACCTCCAGGTGCCGTGGAACACGTTCATCTAAGAGTACCGTTCGTGGTCATCCGAAACAAAGAGGTCAACATTAGCGCCGTGGTTTGGCCGTTGCACTCGGGAACGCTCACTTATTTTTGGTGGGTTGGGAATAATTCCAAGGTATGATAGACGTGTTTGTCTTACTGTTTTCACCTTTCACTTGCCATGCCACCAGCCACAAAATGTTCTTTACAATATGAAAGACTAGGCGCTGATGATGTTTCTGCAGTAATGTATATTAACCAGGTCAGTTCTCACCCCCTGTGTACCTGAGGGATTTGTATATTTCTGCTATGGGCCTGTTTTTTCAGCAATACGTTTGTAATTAACTAATATAGCAAAGTTATATACTGTGTATATGTATATACACTGAGTGGCCAGATTATTATGAGCACCCCATCAGTACTTCGTTGGGCCACGAGATAACTCCACGAGATGTTGAAAGGTGATGCGAGGAATCTGACACGGCACTGTTGCCCTTCTGTTGTCTTGTACCAGTCTTGCCGCTCTCCGTTCTGCCCTAACATTGACTAGTCGCTGACGGCCACAATTCGCACGTTCAGACCCAGATGTTCGGCTGACAGTTTGGTCTTTAAACACTTTAACAACAGCTGCTCTTGAACATTTAACGAATTCTGCTGTTTTGCTGATACTCGCTCCATGGCTCAGAGTGCCAACAATCATCCCACGTTCAAAGGCTGTTAAATCACGTTGTTTCCCCGTATCTTCAGAAACAAATCACTTCTACTGTCGCGGTAAACAACCCGCTTCCCTATTTATAATGGTCTGGCCCTCTAGCAACTTCAGCGCAAAATTATAGCTAATTTGCCTACAAACGTCAGATGGTCATAATAAACTGGCCACTCAGTGTGTATATATATATATATAGGGGTTCCAAGACTTATAGTTGCCTGAGAGGGTGGGGGTGATGATAGTAATGAACAATCAACAAGGGGAAATTGTAGCAAAATAAGAAAAACAGATTTTTTTTTTTTTTTTTCTTTGATCTGGATACATTTAAAAAAAAATATATTGTTAATGTAGATACAGGATATACATTTTATTCTTTAATTTGTTTGTTTTAAAATTACTCTTACATTTTGGTACAAAGGATTGCAAGGTTGTTTACAGATTAATTTTATATCTTTTCAGTTTTTAGCTTTTTTTTAAATCAAACACTACACACACTTAGAAAACAAAATTAATAGAAATAATAAATAGTTTAAATATTAATGGTTAGAAAAATATAAATATTTTTAAAAAAATCACGAAGAAAAAATAGTTAAAGGGAGGAGAGCAAGGAGTTAATAAAGGGTTAAATACAAACAACTTAAATTTTTGTCTTTACTTGTCAGGTTGTTTTAAAGGAGAACTATGGGGTTAGGGCTTTTCCCCATAGTTCTCCTAAGGGTAATGGGTGGACACAAACTAGCGTCCTCCTGTCACCCAAAGCTCCGTATACTGGGAGCTACAGCTCCCGGTATACTGAGCCAGCTGCAGCCGGGACGGATCCCGACAATTATGTCTGGATCCACCCATCTGCGTGAGTGACAGGTGGCTCTGCCTATCCAGAGGCAGAGCCAGCTGTACCTGCCCCCTCCCCCGTCCGTTCCGCCAGTCATCGCTGGAAGATCGGAGCGGGGAGGGGGGAATCCAGCCCCTCCCCTGTTACGGCTCTCTGCCGACACAGGATTGAGAAGATTGAGCGAGCGCCGGTATGTGTTTGCTCAACCCATCTGCGTGAGTGACAGGTGGCTCTGCCTATCCAGAGGCAGAGCCAGCTGTACCTGCCCCCTCCCCCGTCCGTTCCGCCAGTCATCGCTGGAAGATCGGAGCGGGGAGGGGGGAATCCAGCCCCTCCCCTGTTACGGCTCTCTGCCGACACAGGATTGAGAAGATTGAGCGAGCGCCGGTATGTGTTTGCTCACCTCCCGATCTACTGAGCCGACCTGTGACAGTCTCAGTGTTGCAGGTTGGCTCAAATTTTGAGGCTGAGTGATAATCATTTACCTCATAGTTCTCCTTTAACTTACATCATATGCAGATGAAAGAAAGAGAGTAGATGTAAAAATAATATTAATTTGTATCTCTTTTTCTCGCCTCTGAACAATGTTTATAAACACTGCATCCAACGGTCCCAGTCACGGTGCAGTGCTCTATGTGTACAGACCCAAGCACCATCACATGGAAGTTTGAAGAAGCATGCTTAAAGTGACACTAAACTCAGGAGTTACATCTTAAAAATACATTTAAGAACCTCAACTAGTAACAACAATGTATCTTATTTGTGTATAACTCGGCTGTAGATCCTCCAATCATCTCTGAATTGGTGCTGACACCGTCCTTCCTTCTGGAGGGGGGCTACTTTTGTTCCCCATGGTTCCTGTGTGTGTTGTAAAGTAGTCACCGCTCCAAGCTCACTCCCGGGATGGACTACACTACAGTCTCAGTACAAATTAGTGAACTGAACATGAGATTGTAGTCCATCACAGGAGCAGGTGAGGTGAGCGGAGGGACTGAGTAGCTTGGCCAGCACAGACAGTAATTAGACTCTACCAGGACAGGAGAGGGCCTTTACGTGGAAGGAGAGAGGAGGCAATTCTAGGGAATAGATTCCTGAAATAGTCAGATTGTCTAGCAAGTTCAGAGACGCATTGCAAGGCAATAAAAATTGTTTATGGAATTGAAACAAACTGGAAGAAAGCATTTCAAATACTGATTTTTTTATTTGTTGTCCCCATTTTTGTAAGCTGGTGACAGGCTCTCCTTAAGTAAATACAATTGATATGAATTGTCATGCATTCTAGTTTAATAAGCAAGTCTATAGCGTCAGCAGTTGCCCTGTGACTGTAAACAGTGACCGGAGATCTAATTGGTTGCCATTATTTATTGCACTTTGCTTGTTACGTTGCCTTATTGAATCCGCCGGTCTCAGCTCAACACCAACAGCAAGAATGTGACATTTTCTTTAAGACTACCCGGCGGATTGATGAAGCACCCCTTCCATCGCTTAATGAGTCCATCACATGATCTACGACGCGGGTTATTCTCCTTATAAATCCCATCGCCCGCCTCATTCGCCCGGTTATAAATTATGCTGGCATTTTCTTTTATGTCCTCGACTTGATTAAAGGGGCGATCTTACATTTAAATCGGGGGTGGAATCTATCTCATTTTATGGGGTGGGAGAAAGCTTCATCAACTATCCTGCAGCCTAGATACAATGATGACTCTCCCTGTGTAATGACTTAATGCACTTTATAATGTCGTATATGTCTTCCAAGAAGATTCAGTGTTGCCATCGGGCCTGAACTGTCCAAATAGACTTGGAAAGTGTTTTGGTTCATTGGTTAAGAAGACCGTAAATGCAAATGTTAGTAGAATTACGGAAAGGCAGGGCAAGCAACAGTCGCCAACACACACACACGTATTATTTTTATATACACAATATATATATATATATATTGTGACCAGCAAGGCTCACACCTGATAGCCAGATGATGCAAGAACGCTATGCTCCCGGGGATGCTCGCGCAGCCTGCGTACTGCGCATGCGCCCACGCCGCATGACCCGCGCATGCGCACCTGCACCTCGGGCACCAGGTGTCCTACCGAGCTGAAGGGGAACCCGTGCCCTGCGCCGTGCCCGTGGTCCCCGAGTAGAGGTAACATCCCCTGCTTCCTGACACTGACAGAAGTGAGCGAGCGACAGTATGTGTTCGCTCACTTCCCGATCTATTGAGCCGACTTGTGACAGTTTCATTGTCACACGTCGCCTCTCACTATGAGAATGAGTGATTTTCACTCACCTCATAGTTCTCCTTTAAGTTATGTTGCGAGAGATGCAATCCTATGTCTTTAAAAGTTTCAATCATGGACTACACAGATTTTAATTATCCATTGAGTTGTAGACTTGAACTACAGCAACCCCTTACATGTTCAATGACTGATGGATGATGTGTGCAGAAAACCATCTACAGATATTAATACTAAAGCTGACTCTCCCAGACCTGAATGTCATTCGGTTCTGGGAGCCTCAGCTTTGGTATTATATGTATATACTGTATATGGCTCCCATGTTGCCGTAACGGAAATTTGTGTTCAGACCCATTCGGATAGGATCCGGACGGGAATTCAGATCTGAAAATTCGGATTTGGAAATTCAGATGTGTCTGAATGTCCCAATTTGGGAAAATTCAGTACGAATTTTGATTCGGAATGAAACAAATCGCACTTGTCTAATTTCTATAGCACCGAAAATGTACACAGCGCTCTACATAGTTCAACTTTCACATCAGTCCCTGTCCTCGAGGAGCTTACAATTTAAGGTCCCTATCTCACATGCACACAGTGACAGGTCTTTATTACAGGAGGGGGCAGAGAGAAGACCAGTCACACTACACAAGATAGAGAGCAGCACTGTCCGGTCTTTATTACAGGAGGGGCAGAGACAAGACCAATCACCCTGCACAAGGAGAGGCAGCAACAGTGAGCAGTCTTTATTACAGGAGAGGGCGGAGACAAAACAGAGCTTTGGGAGGGACCCAGCGGGGCCATATCCACAGGCTGACTGCAGGAAACTATAGGAGGGGCGGATACAAGACCAGTCACCCTGCACAAGGAAAGAAAGCAGCAGTGAGCCGTCTTTATTACAGGAAGCTCCAAGTCTCGCACTGGATTACTGCACAGATCTAGAAGAAATACACAAAGCTCACCAATGAGTACAAAGCTACACATGACTCTGGTATGAAGACAATATCTGCTGATCCCAGAGTTTGACTGTAAGTGTAAATTCAAACCCTGTAAGCTCAATTCACCGAATCCGTTAGCATATGTTTTTCAAGGGATGTCAACCGATGCCGGGGGGAAGGTAACCCAAAAAATGTATAGATGTGAATGAGACCAGTTCACACTGCTGTGATGTGTTGCGTTTCGTTGCATTATCATGAAAAAAAAAGTAGAGCTTTCTTTTTTTTTCAACATAACCCAACGCGTAAAAAATGGATGCCAACGGAACAGAAGTAAAAAAAAAGACAGACCTGGAGAGACTGACCGCAGGGGCTACATGACTGGGGGGAGGAATAGTCCCGGGAGAAAGAGTTAAAAATAAAATGGGAATA